ATCCGACCGACGAGGCCTCTCCTTCTACTACCTCTTCGCTCGCTCGCGCGCCCAAACTACAAAGTCGAATAAAGATGATAATAAGCACCGGTCGTATTTCAAGTCTCCACCGCGACCGGCGCCGAAAGAGCCGATAGCTCGCCCAAGAACGAGTCCTCCAAAGTTATATCAAAAAATTTGTCCACGAAAGATTATTGTAAAATTTTTAGGTGCAAAAATAAAACAAATTTTCTTAAAAGCGCTCAAAAGATCAGAGAAACACCTTGAATTGATCATTCATTGATTTAAAAATTGATCTATCTACATTACATTATAAAAATAGTTTATTGACATTATAAAAAATTTATAAATTATTTTAACTATATTTTACCTTGATAATTAAATTTCTTTTGACGTTGAACTTGGATGAGCGAATTTCTAAACATTATAACGCATGTATATCGGCAAGAATGTATACGGTCGCGTCTCGCGAATTTCGCTGGTTAACCATTGGTACCGTGACGGGGATGGAACGTCGCGAGCATTCAGCCCAATCCGCCGAAAACGGACGAAGGGTGGCGTTAACGCGTCCCAACCGATTCGCCGCCGCTTCGCACACGTCGACTCGGTGCATACGCAAATGCCGCGGAGAGCACGGCAGAAACGTCCAGCTTACGAAGGATTAACGTCACGTCTTGGCAGAGTCCACCCGTGGGACCGACGGGAACAAAAGTGCTCTTTCTCGGTCTCAAGCATATGTCTGCTTTCTGAGAGCAAGCTCGGAGAAAATGTGCGCAAAATTATAAAGATCTTCCGCATATTCACGCAATGTGACATTTGAATATTCTCTTTTTTTTTTTGTAATCCTGGGGTAAAGTGAATTTTTGAGATTTTTCTTTGATATTTGTTTCATGAATGCACATCAAAGATTAAAATGTTGCATCAAGATTTGTTGAATTTCAATTATATATATATAAATAAATTAAAAAAAAATCTTATATTACAAATATAGACGTATGCGTATAGAGGGATTAAAATTAAATCATCTGTCCACGTTGTCGCAGAACTGAGAGAATCTATCCGCGCTCTCGCGATGCATCTCGATGCTGGAATTCCGAAGCGAGCGAGAGAATTTTCGCGGTCGCGCGTGCTTCCAAGTTGCCTCTTTTATTTTGCGCATAACGAGAGTTTACTGCCTTCCGCGAGGTACGAGAGAGAAGCGCATCTTTGTCTCTTTATGGTCGGAAAGTGGCCCGTGAAGCGGCCGCGAGACCGAAGACGGCATCGCGGCCGCCATCGCGGCCGTCTTCTTCTTGGACGCCGCGAAGAAGTACGGTCGGATAATAACGAGTTTCGTTGTCGTCCCTTTCGCCCTGCGCGGAGAGCGCGAGTCGTAAAGTCAGCCGACGTTAACCCTGCCGGTTCCGTCAACCACCTTGCCGCCGCCGTCCGCCCGTTCGACCGTTTTTCTTCCACAGCGATGTGGACGATTGTGTCAAATTTTTATTGCGCCAACGAGCCTGTCTCACGCGGGGTCTCACATTCGCCTCGCCTTATACGGTACTCAAACGATGAGGAAAGAGAGAGAGAGAGAAGGAGAGGAGTTAACTTCAAGTCTTATGATTGCATCGACGTTGCATCCCCCGTGGACATCGACAGATTGCAAAGGATAATGATGATAATTGTATAAATGTGATAACAAATCCAATAAAATATAATAGGTACGGAGAGAGGTAGATAGTCAGATCAGGACAAATCGCGGATACAAATTTTAAAAATTAATATAAAATGTATTATTAGATAGCAACATAAAAATAATAAGCAAAAAATTAAATAATATTAAAGATTGAAGTAATAGCATTATTTAAGCTTGATATCATTTTAATAGTTTTCTATTTAAAAAGTTTCTCAAGTTTGTTAATTGCACACCCAATAGATCATTTCAGTAATAATCTTAGAGCATATGCTCTAAGGTAATAATATAAAAATACTTTGAACTATGTATTTCGCATTCTGACAGTTTGACGTTATCAGCTGACAGTTTGACATGATCAGCTGATATGAAAATTTATATTGTAAATTGATAAAAAAAATATATTCGATATAAATCATTTTTACGCAGTAAATATGATTTCTTTTATGTTGCGTTTTTGCCTTCAAAAATCTGTCAATGGTAAGATAGTTTAATAATTAATTATCAAAACTGTTGAAAAAATCTATAGATTCAATGTTCGATAAATTATTATTCAATAGGCGTTCGAAACAACTTACAAAATTACAGCAATGACGGAGCCAATGTTTTTAAAAGGGAAAAGTTGCGATATCGAGAAGAGGGAGGTATCGTTCTCCGTATAGTATATCAAAAAATAAAAAGATTCAACAGCACAAACATACTATGCTTGTATCTCAGTAAATTACTTTATAAACAAAACCGTTGATTCAAAGTTTCCATCCAATGCACTTTTTTTCTTTGACAAAGTCAACTTTATTTGTGCAAGCATTTATTGCGCCCGAAAATTCATCCATCCATTCTGCGACACAATTGATTGCACCTCTGCGTCAAAAAGGTTATTACGAGCTGGTTGAGTCCTGGAATTCCTGCGGGAAATCTGCCCGCGACGCCTCGGAGCTGCATGGCATAACTCCGGAAAAAGGCAAAGTTCCCGTCTCGGAGCAGAAAATAGAAGATCCGTGAAATTATTATTTCTAATAATCTAATCACTTTAGATAAGCGCCATTCTTTACATATTGCAAAAATTTAATCAGATGTATTTTAAAACTTAAATAACAGAAATAATTAATTGTTAAAAAAATTAAATATTGAAATTATGTACGAATATATTAAAATTATTGTTTGATATTATTTGATGTATCATCTTTCGTAAAGAAATATCCCTCTGTTTTAAAATTAAAAATCAACAAAAAATCTGTCGATAAAAATATTTTAAGATAGACAACTCGTATGGTTTCCGTCTAATTCGTTGTTACATTCGTTCCCTGGTAAATGTAATATTCATTGTGGTGTCTATTATTCACAGGACTATCTGACATTTCACGTGACACGATGTACCAATATATTTCTTCTTTTTTTTGTTCGTCGAACGAGATACACTATAGGGACGAGCAGGCAAAGACGCATTACCAGATTGGCCCGCGTTCGCATTCAGAGGGTCCTTTACATTCATGAAGCTTTTATTCGGTTGATTTGACTATGCGCTTCGTATCCGCGGCTCTCGATTTGATTTGCATTGATTGAAGTGGCCGGCTCTCCCGATAACGACCGTTTTTCTTCCGTAGTGTTGCGGATTCGCAGCTGGACCGTAGCGTAAATACGCGTGCAAACGCGTTTCACGGTTTCACGTTGATCTTAAAAGAATTTTACTGCAAATCTTATCGACGAGCAACAAATCAAATTTATCGTGTAAAAAGAATCTACTCATATGTAAATATCAATTGTTCATAATTGTATAGCCTGCTGTGCAATATAAAACTGACACTCTTTAAGTTCAAAATCCGCTTTCTAGCAATAATTTAATTTAAAAGGAGAATCGTATATTTTTATTCTATATTTTAATATTGCGAATAAATTAAATATTAATTAAATATTAGTTACGTATGGATGATGACATATTAAAATCTGTAATATTGATCAAAGTCAATTATCTGCATATAATGCAAGAAATAATTTTTCTTTTAAATTTTACCATCCACAGAATCATAATGTGTTTCTTGTTGAATGTTCCTTTTTAACATTCATTAAATATTATAATACAATATGTATGCAAAGTTGTTGACAGCATAATAATGCGAGACTCCGATTTTTATCGTGAATACAAAATCAGCTGTCGCTGTTCGCAATTCCTCATCGCGAAGACGCCTTACAAAACAAGCGTCGCGATAGGTATATACAAGCGCGGCACTCCACCATCCCAATTTCGTCTTCTTCCACGACAACGGCGGCATTGTGTCCGCGTCAACGGCAGAACGATGATTAATCGATCGAGTGTCACGGATATCGGTCTCTCTCTTCTCGCGCTACCGCAGAGAAGAATCGCCGAAGAATAAACCACGTACAAACTGTCTCCATTAATAAAAATCATATCGCTATTAAGCCGAAAATATATTTACACTGTCGCGCAACAACACGGTGGACTCTGCTCCCCTTTTTTTTCAGGGCCACGGACTCTGATCTTGGAGATCCCGAAGAGACCGCGAGATCTCGTGAAAAATCGAGAGAACCTGCGTCTAAAGCCGACGACGGATCTAATCGTCGCGGAATGAGTCTCCACTTTTTCCTCATCCTCTCGCTCCTTTTCTCTCCAAAGAGGGACCACCTGGGAATTTCCCAGATTAAATTGATTCGTATACGCGCACTTTGCGACGACCCGATGATCCTTCGTCTTCGCCGCCACAGCTCGCCGTCGCCATGACCGCATCATTCATCTCGCCGGTGTACTATTAGTACTGTTATTTATGATGAAAAAAAGCGTAGACCGCGAGAGCGGCACCCATTATGTATCGAGATCGGGTCGCCGGGTGATTTATGCCGGCGGTGCAAATTGCCGCTTGTCCTTTGTATAAGACGGGCGAAGTGAAACGTCGTCGATTAAATCGGGCCACGTTGATCGTGATTTAGCGAAGTTTAGGAGGGCCCCGGCTCCGCCGCCTCGTGATTGCGAAATTAGCGATCGCGAGATTACGCTAAGTTTATGCGCGCGAAAAATACAGGCGTGGCTCATCCCCCGTAGTTTCTGGGAGTGCGAGATACGTCGCGATTATTTATAAACTTAATTAAATTACTCGACCAAGATTAAGATAATTTGATCGTATAATATTTTATTCTTTTTTATAGCTAAGACCCAAAGGAAGGCCATAAGTATATATTACGGGAAAACTCCTTTTAGAGACATCTTTTTTATGTGTCCTTCCAATATTAATTTTTTTAATGAAGAGAAATGGTACACATATAATGTGTTATGTTAAAAGAAACGAATCTTGAAAACAGTTCTTTTTTTCTTACCTGCAAGCCCTGTTATACCTACAAGTTCCTGAATTCTTCTCTATTTTCTTCAAAGCTTGTCTTCTTAATTCAACAAATTAATAAATTAACATAATTTACCTTTATCATCCAATGGCTCGGAGTATTCCAACATAGGATACGTTCGTAGCTGTAGTAATTCGTGTTCGATCTGCAACACCAACAGCTCAGCGTAATTATCCTGAAGCTTCTTCATGAGCTCGGATCGCTGCTTAAACAGACGCATTTTGCGATCCATATGCTGACACTGTCTCGTTTCTCCAGTGATGTCACGTTGATATTCCAGCTCCCATCTCGCCACGTTCATCTCCGTGACAGTTCGATCGAGCTCGGCGTTCTTCTTCTTCACGCAAGCGATCTTCTTTCGCAGATTCTCCAGTTTACTCATCTCCTTGGACAAGGCTTTATCCAGAGATTTCTTCGAAAGCTCGACTTTCCTCTCGAGACGCACCGCGGTCTTATCGTCGCGCAGACCCTTCGCCTTCCTCTTCAGGTACATTCGCATGTCCCGAGTGACCGTGACGTTCTCCAGGAAGTGCAGATCCTCCTTCAGCTCCTTGAAGCGCGTCCTCAGGCAACGATGTTCCCACTCGAGCGACAATATTCTATGGCGGAAGTCGATCTCACGCTTTAGGACGTCCAGCTTGCGCGCTCCCGCGGCGACGACGTGCTCGTTAACTCGCTCGATTTCATTGCGCGACACCAAAACTGCGTCCGCGGTGTCGCGTCGTTCACCCTGCAGTTCCAGCTCCACCTGACCCCTCTTGACTACCAGTTGCACCTCGGCGTCCTGCTCGTTCGTCACTCGCTCGTCCCTCGCCTTCTTCAATCGACTTCTGAGAAGACCCACGCTTGATTTGCAAGCTTCGATCTTGCGTTCGAATGTCGCGATCGTCTGCTCCACTACGGCTATCTCCAGCTGCTGAGCTCTGATCTTTAGTTCCACGTTGATCTTCTGGCGACGCGATTGGATGAAGCGATTCCAGTGATTCGCGTCGATCGACTGCGGCAGCCCGTCGGGTCTCACGTCAAGACTCTCGAGGATCTTCGAATAGTCCGTGCAATCAGTCGGCAAATAAGCTGGCTTGGTGTGATTTTTAAGGTGCTGCGCGAGAGTGAGCAGATCGCTGGCAGCGATGTTCTTCAAGGACACCTTCGGTCTTCGCTTGTACTGCTGTTCGAGTAGCTCGATGCTGACCCTCGACAGACTTCCAACGAATTCGTGCTGCAGCTTCTTCGTCATCGTCTTCTCGCGAGCACAGAGCGCGTCGTGTTGCGCGAGCATGTCCTGATAAGTGTCATGCAGCCTCCGCAAGTGTTCCTGAAGCACAACCTCGTACTGACGCTTCTCGGATATCTCTCGTTTCACCCTGTCGTCCTCTCGCACAGCCTCGACTCGCGCTAGGTTTCGTAAACGACCACGAATGTGGCGCAACTTTAGTTGATTCAACGCCGCTTCGACTTTCAACTTTATCTATAAAGCAAACGACGAGACTATTCGAATTGATGAATTTAATAATGAAAAGTCAGAAAAGTTGACGGGAGAGAAAGAGAGACCTGATAGAAATTTTTCAGCTTAGTGTCAAACTTGTTGATGCCTTCTTGCAGAAGTACACTGATCTTGGCATAATCGGCCTCGAGCATCCTCTTGTAACGTTCGCGCTCCTGTCGAAGAACCTCCATATCCGCTTCGTACTTCTTTACGGCCTTGATGTCGTCAGAGGTGTACTGCTCCGGCTGTTTTTCAGTCATGCATGCGGGTTTACGGACATCTATTTTGATAGTCTCTTCCCAACGAATTTCCAGCACGCCGTCCATCATCTTCATCAGAGCGCGTTCGCGAAAATCATCGGCCAGCAACAATTGTCTGATACGTTCGTCTTCCAGTGCTTGTCTGTCCAAAAGTTCCAGCTGCGACGGTGACCTGTACGGCTTTGCTTTGACCTCTTGATGAAGCACTTGAATGATGCTTTCTACTTTTTCCTAATAAATATCGTATTCGCATTTCGTAGTTATCGTTATTTAAAATTATAGTTATTGCAGATATTTTTATTAAATTATGATATACAAAAAAAAGATTTATTTTAAATTAAGATTATAAACTTTGTAAAATTTTTGGATACTATGACAGGAAATATTTTTGCACAATTATTCATAAAATTATTATACAAATTAAACACATTGTAATTTGCTTATTTTCAGTCATTATTTTCCAAGTAGTGAGAGAGGAGGGAGATACCATTTATTTTCTCATGAAAGAATTTACTTTAATTTTTCGGTTATGAAAAAATCGATTCACGTTCCCTGGCAATTAAGATCGCGGCTTCTGGGACACCCGATAGAAACAATGTTCGTATCTCGTATTTACCTTGAGATGCCACTGCGGATCAACAGGATCCCGCAGCACGCTCTGACCGAACATTATCCTCAACTCGGAATCTATATGACGTATCCTCTCGTTTCTCTCCCGTATTGCGCTCATTTCCCGCTCCTTCGCCGCGTACATGTCGTCGAAGAGCTTGTTGAAGTAGGCACGGAGCTTGCCATAATCGTGCATCAGATAACGATCGTCTAGCGTCACGTGCGCGAACCCGTAAGACTCCATCTGCGAGTAATAGTAAGGCGATTGCTCGACGAAGCGATGCGTCGTCATGCCTGCGAACGAGTTCCAGGCGATTAGCGAGGCTTAATCGAATAAAATGGAAAATTACAAGTCTCGCAGAGTTTCATGCAAAATAAAATTAAAATTCTTAACCTTTTGCGTTCAATTTAAATTTTTTTACTTTCATTCCTCTGTAAGTCACATTCAATTTTTTATTAAGTATATATCTCTAAAAAAAGTTAAAATGCTGCAAAATGTAAGGGGAAGAAATAGAGAAGCATTAAAATATCAGTGTACAAAGAATCATTACTTAGATGTATAAAGCATTGATTTACAATAAATAAAACGCGAAAATGTAGACGCCGGGAATCGATGTAACGCTGCAAGATTCCATCATTATTATACCTTCCATCGCTCGCAATTCCGCCAGCTCTTCGGGATCGATCTCGCGCTCCTCGTCTTCGAGAAACACATCCATCCTGCGTTTCTCGTCCTCGCGATACACCCTGACGGGCTTGCTCAATTCTACCTGAAGCTGTTCATTCGTGTAATTACGCCACGGCTGAAAAGTGTCGTCCACGATGCTACGCATCGAATCCTTGGCAAAGTGCGCCCATTGCAAATGGTCCTTGAAATGCGGATCTCCCTCGACGAGTGGATAATTCGTCACTTCCAGGTCACCGCGGAAGGAAAATATCGACCGACCGAGCACGACTTGCGGATCCCAGAAGGTCTCCTTTATCCAGCTGGCCACGCGATCCGTCGAAGCGCAGAGATGCTCGAGTTCCATGCGAACATCCTCGCGCTCGTCCTTGGCCGCTTTCAATTTCTGATCGCGATCCGCCTTGTTCAAGTCGAACGCGGATATCGGCAGCCTCTCTATCTCCGGACAAGTCTCGTTGGCGTCGAGAAGCTGTGTTACGGTGGCTTTCAAGACTTCCAGATCCCTCATAATGGCAGCCTTCTCCGCGGTGTAGAAGCTTGTCTCTTCCTGCAGTTGCATGTCCTCTCGCCATTGCTCCCAGGATCCACATTCCTTCTCGTCGACTCCTGGGAAATCCTGTCTGGCACGGGTCAACGAAGAACGAATCGCCGGATCCAGAGAAGCGTAATCGGACAGTATCTTCTTCTTCTGCTCTTCGTACTTCATTGAATAAACACTTCTGCTCGTGAATGCTTCGTTCTCCTACACTACAGGAATCGTCAAGATTGTTTCATAAATAAAAAGCAGTGGAAAGAGAAATAAAATAAAATGCAAATGAGTTAAAAGTTAATCATACGCCAGCTGTATATTTGAAACACACCTTTCTATTCTTACGAGGAATGTGCATCGCGATTAGAGAACCGTCGCGACCGAGAGTGACCACTTTGCCACCAGTGGAATCGATGATCGCCCTTCGGCTACCTGAGTCGAGTCTATGATGCGCCGGCACCGCGGCGACGATCTGACGTATCGTTTTATCGCGGACGACGACCAGTCCGTCGTAGGCGCACGTGACGATCCAACGTCGATCGGCAAAGATGCGGGCGAGCCGCACGTGGTGACCTGTGAGCGCCGCGTCTATCAAGGTCGTGACCTTGAAATCGCGCTGCATCCTGACCGCGTGCAGTTGTCGTTTGAGATAAGGCGAGCCTATTAACAACGAGTGGTCTCCGGGCGCGTGAGACAACTCGTAGAAAAGCGCGGGAAGCGTCACCATGTCTTGGTTCTTGTCGATCAGATGACCCTGTCGTGACGCGTCCTTGTACGACACGTCGTATACGAGAAGCTGATGACCCACCGCGGAAAAAGGCTCGTACTTGACGTAGAGCGCGAGCACTTTCAGGCTCCCACGCGCCTCGTCGTCGTCCAGCACCACGTCGACGAGGCGCCTCCTCGTCCGGATCTGGGCGATCACGCAAAATGGCTTGTCGCGCCGCAGGTCTATGCAATAGCAATTGCCCGTATCCTTTTGCGCGGCGATCAGGAATCTGCCGGCAACATAAATCGACCAGTGAGAGGTGTATAATCCGTTGAAATAACGCGCGTTTATCGCTCGAAACTAAATACGTTTGACAAGAGGTACATTTAAAAGAGAGCCTATATCGGCTCTCTCTCTGTATATGTATGTTGCCCTCTTGCCTATGGGAACGAAACGTGGAAAATTAAGGGTTACGTAATAGAAAATCATAGTTTGTGAAATATAATATGAAACAATACTGATACACAAAGAACATTCTCACGTGTTTCAATTTTATTTATGCACATACTCCATTTCATTAGAAATTAAATAGGTAAGATTTTTTTTTAATTTTATTTGTATATAGTATTATATTTAATACATCTTACTGATTTCATAAAGATACACAATAAAATAAAAATAAAACAAAAGCTCTTTATTAAAAATCTTTGGCTATTGTTATCATAACAGCGTATATATTTAAAGATGTTACAAATTTTATAAAACTGATACACATTATTTTAAGCTTACTTGCCAGAGGGAGAAAATTTTATGAGATCCAAGGGTTTTCTCTGAAGACGAAAATATGACAATATTGCTGGCTGTTCCGGATTAATGACACCCAGAATTGTCATCTCGCCTTGATCGCTGATAACGACGATCAATGGATCATCCGGATGTGACGTTTGAGCAGATATAACGCCTTCCATTTCGAGCTCTACTTTCGACACTTCGCTACCGCTATAGCATTCGAGGATGGCCAGCTCCTGGAGTTCGTCCGTCACCACGAGATGATGACACCAAGGATACAGGAAATCGACGAACTGATATTTACCGCCATAGTGCAAGTATCTGTGGATGGTTGGTACGATGCTTCCATCTTCAGGGAAGAGCATCTGCATCAGGTATCCTTCGAGAGTGTAGTATAGGAGCCAATCATTCCTGAAGGGATGCGAGATCAGAATATTCGGCTTGTAGATCGACTCGACGGACCACTGCTTACGCCAAGTGTCAGTCTTCGATTCTTTCTTAAAATAGCGAATTTGACAGAAGGTCGTCCTGTGAATAATCCCTTCGCGAAACCAGCACACGGCCGGCATCTCGACATTCTCGCAGATTCCGCAGCGTTGAGAAACAACGATGCGACGAATGTCAGTGCCATCGTAGTCGCTCAAATATATGTGACCGTCTCTATCGGTGATGGCCAATAAAGGTTGATCCGACGTAGGGTGCCAGCTGATACCGAAAATCGTAGCTTCCCCCGGTAATTTCACTTCGTGATCTTTGCAAAGATATACATATATTGCATATGTTAAGATCTTTAACTGACAATGAGATATATACTTGGAAGGATTAAAATTATCTTGAAAAATCGCATGCCTTTTAAGATAACAATCTTGCCGACAACATCGAGTTCCCAGGTGAGCAACTTTCCGCAGGTCTTTCCCATTTGACCGATGACAGTGCGACCCATCGGAGTTATCATGATTATCTGACCGACTTCGTCGCGTATAGACGTGTTCGCGATCGCGATCTTCTCGCCCGTTCTCCAGCACCATACGATCATCGGGAAGTTCGGGTAAGAGCCTAATGACACGAGATGATCGCGTGACGTGAACGCGATCGCCAAATAACCGCTTTCGCATCCTTGAACGCACTCGCAGATCTTCGTCATCGAGGGATATGCGAGAACGAAGATTCGCGGATTGAGCGATCTCTCGGAGAAGGCGAAAATCGGTGAAGACACGTGACCGGATATGCAACGAGCACCGTCGCCGGTCGCATTGTTCCAGCACCAACGCAATGTCTGCCGTCTCTTGACGATGTGAAAAAACACAATGTACAAGCCGGTGCACCAGGCAAGCACGTCCTTGCCAATCCAAATTATTTCCTCGATTCTACCGCCGCGTATCCAGCAGGGTGAATAACCAATAACTGAATCCATTTGTTATCTAACTGAATATTTCGCAACAATTGTGATAATTATAATAAAATTATTAATTAATTATATAACCTAGAAGAACTTATGACTGCATTGACAACTACCGAAAAAAAAGAAACATATCGCAAACAAATTAAACCAGCACTAATGGCTCGATCATTAATATAATTGTTGTAAAATAAAATTAAAAAGTATGTTGATAAATAATAAAATAATTTCACTAAATATCATTGTGTCGAAATGACAATATTTATGTTTGTCACATTCTTTACATTTTTCTCATAAAAATAAAACTCGCAAAACTTCTCGAATTATATTCGATATTTAATTAATTTGAAATAAATGAGACTTGTTGCTTATAATTATATCGTTAATTTATGTTGACTTTTAATTTCACAACAAATATTTTTGGTCAGATTTTTTTAGGCATATTATTCAACGCTGCTGCCTCGATTGAACGATCGACAAACTTCTTATCGCCCTAGGCAATATTCGAGACTAATTTCCTATGGGGTTAAAAGTTTCCATTGTTCTCTATTGTGAGAGCAACAACGTAAAATCCCGAAAACTCAGCACAGTTGTTCAACATTACATTACATAAACGCTTTTTTTCATAATAAAAAAATTCATTCGAATCAGTTAAACATATATATTTTACGCCAAGTACTCGTATATTAGATATGAATTTTAACTATTGAATATTGCACTCTTGACAAAATTAAAATAGCATTCGTAATTTGCTATGGACATCTTTTGAACATGTGTTTTGTTAGGGATGTTGTATAATGGAAAATAGATCTGTTATTAGTTTCATGCAATTTTTTTTTTTAATATACTGTAATATGATATTGTACAAATTATTGTCGTTACATTTTAATAAAAGATTTTGTTTTTCAAAAACAGTACCGTGGATGTAATTACATTTTTTGGATGCCCTATAGACATCTTTTAAATGCATGTTCTCTTAGGGATGTCGGTGGCAAATAACATCTTTTAAAAGATAGAAAAATATGACGTCCATTCATTCGTCCAACATATTACTAACGACGAAGGCATTCAACTGAGAATTACCTGTTTAACTGTTGCGCCTCTGTTGTCTCTGCTCAATTCAACTAGTGACAACTATTCTCCGGCAACATCCTTCATATTTATTATCTAACTGTGCATTAAAAGATTCTGACGGAAGATGGATTTATTCCCATTGAAACGAGGCATTCACACTTTATCGATTCAACTCAATAAAGCAGCGCTTGTGAAACAAAAGGAAATAAGTATCTAACTAAAATTTTTTATACAAGAAATTAGAAATCCAGAATGAAGAATCCGCGCTTTTAAAATTAAGCATTTTGTTGAAAAAATTAGATTTGTATATAAAAAATCACTAGTTGTCGATGTGTTTGTTGTAAACAATTTTTAGATTAAAAATATAATTTATTTATATTAATCGCGAATAAGACATTATAACAGACTATTTATAACATATTACTGTTTTAACATTTTTTACGTATTATTTTTAAATTTAATTAGCAAATCAACGCTTTATTAATTTTTAACAGATATCAGCTGATTATTAAAACATTAATTTGCTAATTAAATTTTAAAATAATAATATGTTATAAAAATCAAAATAATAATATGTTTTAAATATAAAATGTAATACTTTAAACTCGATTAATATTTTTAACAGTTATCAGCTGATTTCTGTCAAAATATATATTAATCGAGGATACAATGTATGATAATTATTTACAACATATAACGCGTAGCACGCACTTGTGTTGTTCTAGTAGTGTAAAAATAAAACGTTTCTCGTTATCCACATTTGCTTGTAATCTCCTACGAATATAATTTCGCGTTTTTGGTACCGCAAGAAGATGGTTCGAGTGTACATCGGTGACGACAACAAATATCGAGTTCCTTCGACAGAAGGATCAGCACGGTCTCTGTCTCGAAGAAAGACTTTGGCAGGCTTAAGACAAAAGGTGATTAGGATACGCGAAGTCGATGGTGGTTTATAAAGACCCCCATAGCGTGGCGTGATGAGGTCAACCAGCAGGGAGTCATCCGTAGCGAGGCCCGATCAAAAACTTATCCTTGCCACGTGATATACTGCCAGTGGATGCCTGCCAAGAGTTTCCCCCTCGCTCACTCTCTCTCTCTCTCTCTCTCTTTCCCTCTCGATTTCGTCCTTCCTTCCTTTCTCTCTTTCCCTCCCCTTCGACCTGGTCCTGGCTGCCCTCTCTGACCGGCAATCTGACTGACTGACTGACTGCCTACCTTGAGACTGTCTGATCTCGTATCCTCGCGTATCCGCAGCCGAAGAGAGCACTCGCTTCGTTCGCGGCGTCGTTTCGCCATTAAAGTGACGCCCGCTGAGATTTGTATTTGCATAACCCAACGATCGGCGTTATCGACGAGTATACTGGTGAACGAGTGGCATCGTCTTCCCGGCGCTTAAACCGACTTGCGTGGGAATCCGGGAGGTGGTGACGCTACATCATATGCACCTTGCATGGAGAAGAATCATCCCCTATCCGTTTTTACACACGATATTTAAATTAGCTGTAACTTTTCATTCGGACGCCTCATTTTGAACACCTCAAATGACAGTTCTCCAATTTGACATATGAAAAAAATCTGGATTTTTAATTTATCATTTTATTATTTAAAAAAATCCCATATATTTTTAGGTTCAATTTTAAAGTTTTAAATTTTTTACGATATTTTGTAGCTTTATTTAAATTAGCTGTAACTTTTCATTCGGGCGCCTCATTTTGAATACCTCAAATGACAGTTCTCCAATTTGACATATGAAAAAAATCTGGATTTTTAATTTATCATTTTATTATTTAAAAAAATCCCATATATTTTTAGGTTCAATTTTAAAGTTTTGAATTTTTTTACGACATTTTGTAGCTTTTTACTTTTACGCGGAAGACCAGATATACATCCCGATAGTTGAGATATCCTACACGTAGGCTATGCGTGCATGATCGCTGGTGCATTCGTGTTTAACGTTGAAGTCTTGCGAGAGTCTCGTGCATTGACTCCCGGGAAAGGCGCGCGCACCCCGAGAGAGGACGGCGGAAAAAAATGGTGATCTCCGAGACGGAAAGAGCGCGGCGAAGAGCCAAAGGAGCATCATCCGCGTATACGCGTATATACTCGGTCGTTCCGTAGCCGGCACGCACACGTGCTGCGCGACGAACAACCGCCGTCCGTCTCGTATCACATCGTTCGTGCAGTGTGGGAAACCGCGCGCCGTCGAGGGAGAGAGAAAGAAAGAGAGTAAAAGAGGCTGCGAGCAGAAGAAAGGAGGAAGAGGGAACGACTCGAACGCGGCGAAGTAGCATTTAATCAGAGCCCCGCGTCGAAGTGCACGGCGTATATACACGTGTACGTATACCGCGAGAGGTGGACTGGAAGAGGGATTGGGAGGTTGAGAGAGCAGGAGAGCGGTATATGGTTCGGTTAGTTTTTGCTCGGGAGGTTGCCTGGAAATTGGCGCCAAATTAGTAAGGAGGACGAGGCGAGGCTCACGGTGCCTTGGGCTGCGTGACGCGAGACATTAAAAGTAACCTCTGCTCTTGTACACCCCCGACCCTCCGCCGATCGCTGCCGCTTCTCTCTTTCTCCAGTCCTTCCCCATCCCTTCGTCGTATATATACTCGGGCGCATCTTTCTTCTCGCTCCTCTTCGCGCAGCATCCCAACAACCATCTCTTTCTCCTTCTTCTTCTCTTCTTCTCTTCCTCCTCCGCAGAAATGTCCGGAGAAACGAGCAGCAGCTTAGAACTCCTCGGCCTCCCAGTAATCACGTCCGCCCAACGAAAGAAAACGAGGGAAAAAAAATGAATTCGCACTTACGCCGAACTCGGGTCTGCGTAGCGCGATTGGGGGGTAGGTAGGTAAGGAGTATTGAGGGGGAGAAAAGGGGGTAGCGTGTGATACCGAAGCGAGGCCGTTCGAAAATGGTCGTTGTCGAAAAAGGGTATCACGCCAACGGTCGCGAGAAAGCCGGGTTCCAGCCCTTTTCTCTCTCTCTCTTCCTCTCTTCTTTCTTTCAGATCCTCCAAATATCCGGCACCATAGAGCACGGAATGATGCTGACGAGATCAACAGCGACCGAAGGGTCTCACGCGGGCCCCGAATGTTTTTGTCGCTGCGATACCTCGAAGATGCGAACACGAGGAAAGTTTTGCAGTAAATTTGTAGGCGCCCCAATAATTTTCGACGAATTTCGACTAACGTCGAATCGAAATTAACACTTGTTCATGGAACTTGAAGCGTTGCGAGATTCGTGCACCCTTTGAAAACGATTAGGAGATTATTATTCTTTTGTGTTTGTAAAATAAAATCGCGAATGCCAATGATAATTATAAAACACATTTAGATGCATTTCTTATAAAAGTCAAGTTTAGATACTAATTAAGTGATAGCGTTTCGAGAGGGGCAATTTTTCGCAGCCTAAAGCATAAAATGAAAGTGTTACAGACTACCTCTGCAGTAACTATTTATCACGTATTAAACATTATGAAATCATAAAAGCGAACGATAAACCTTGGAAAGTATCGTCTTCCACCGTGTCAGAAGTGTTCGGATTCAATATCGTGTGTATGTGATCGCAGATAGATAAGCTTATATAGATTCAGTGGTCATTCACTCGGCGAAACCGGTCGTTCACTTGGTTGTGCATCTAGCCCAGTAATTTGATTTCCATTTTTATCCGAAGGAGAGTCTGGCGGAACACTCGAACACGACCAAAACGCTACTCCCATTACGAATAGAATTCTGATTCACATCGGCGATAGCGCCGGCACACTGCCAGGCGTAGAGAGCGCCTTGGCGATGAAAAAAGATGCGATCGACAAAATGGATGGAAGAGATAGAAAGAGAGAATCCGCCCGCCAGAGAGATTCACCTCCGGTCGATGAAGGCAGCTGCTGCGTCTTTTGCGTTGCACACGCACATATAAGGCGCCCCTTATGAAGAGAGACCGACCGT